AGCAGCCAGTACCCCTGTATCGCCCAGGGAGACAAATCTGCAAGAATATACTGGAGTCACCGCCATGGATACTAAAAATTTTTCAGGTCAGGCAAAGGGTAGGTTTGCAAAGGAGACTAATCCAGGGGCCAGCGATTCTCCATTGCCCAGGGAAAAGTCCGAGTCAAATTGCCGCAATGACAGAGGTGCACCTCCACCGTCCGAGGAGAAAAATCAGAACGGCCACCCTAATGACTCCACTAAGGATGGCAAGAAGTCTTCAAACCAGGGAACTAGCATATTGGCAGGGAATGTTAATACGTCAGTCCGTGTTCCTCCACCACCCGCGAAGAAACCTAACATACCTGGGCACAAGTTGGCAGAGAAGTCTAATACAATAGCTAGTGCACCTCCAATGTCCGAGAAGAAAAATCAAAAAGGACAACCTAAAGACGCCATTGAAGATGAAAAGAAGTCTTCAAACCAGGGAAGAAGCCTATCGGCAGGGAATGCTAATCTGTCAGTCCGTGTTCCTCCGCCACCCGCGAAGAAACCCAACTTACCTGGGCACAAGTTGGCAGAGAAGACTAATACAATGGCTAGTGCACCTCCAATGTCCGAGAAGAAAAATCAGAATGGCCAACCTAAAGACGCCCCTGAGAATGGAAAGAAGCCTTCAAATCAGAGGGATAGCAAATCAGCAGGGAATGCTAATCTGTCAGCTCGCGTACCTCCACCAACAGCGAAGAAACCCAGTTTAAATGGGCAGACCCAACGCACCCAGGAAGCAGGATGTTCCTTCTGCTTGAAATTTGGAGGAACGTCAATGCAGACGACGGAGCATAATGTAGCAGCCAGTGTCCCCTCAACGCCCAGGGAGACCCAGCAGCACGAACACAATAAAGTCGCCTCTAAGGATGCCAAAACATTATCAAGCCCGGGGCCTTGCAAATCGGCAGAGGAGACTATTCAATCAGCCAGCGTACCTACAACGCTAAGGAAGTTGATAGCTCACCACGACCAAACCACAGTCGCCTCCAAAGCAATATCAAGAGAGGGGATTGGCAGATCAGCCGAGAAGACTCATCCAACAGCTGGTGCACCTCCACCGTCCGAGGATAAAAATCAGAACGGCCACCCTAATGACTCCACTAAGGATGGCAAGAAGTCTTCAAACCAGGGAACTAGCATATTGGCAGGGAAAACTAATTTGTCAGCCCGTGTTCCTCCGCCACCCGCGATCAAACCTAACTTACCTGGTCACAAGTTGGCAGAGAAGACTAATACAATAGCTAGTGAACCTCAAATGTCCAAGAAGAAAAATCAGAATGGCCAACCTAAAGACGCCCCTGATAATGAAAAGAAGTCCTCAAACCAGAGGGATAGCAAATCGGCAGGGAATACTAATATATCAGCCCGTGTACCTCCACCAACCGCGAAGAAACCCAATTTAAATGGACAGACCCAAAGCGCCCTGGAAGCAGGATGTTCCTTCTGCTCTAGATTTGCAGGAACGCCAATGCCGACGACGGAAGTAGCTTTGCAGCAGGAGATGAAGGCCATTTGTCCTATCTGCTACCGACGGATTAATTTTCGGAACAAGTGTGAACGGACTTCATTTGAATGGAATATACGGGAGAGGAACTTGCAATAAAGTAAACTAATTACTAAATACCATATACTGTTTCACTTAACAGCTGTCTC